TATGAACATCCCCATATTTATAATATAAGGGTATGGTAGCAAAACCAGCATGCTCTTGTAACAACTAGTGCCAGGGTTCAGAAATTTATACATGTACATGTGGCATATAGAAGAAGATGAAATGAAGGAAAAAACATGCACATTTTTTTTTCCTAAGAATTGTCTAACCTGGAATTCAAGTTGCTACACACTAGACAAAAGATAAGGTACAGAGCAGGTGCTTTGAAGTATTACCTTTAAGCGGTTGAACATTGCAGCAGAGTTGCTCCATGTACCATCAATCAAAATGAAATTTAAAGGTTTATATTCATTTGCCTGTTAAAGAGAAGCAATATAAGTATTACCACGTAGTTGAACTGAAAGAAGAGGAGAGCTTTCAAACTGAGAACAGAAATTTCATCCTGAATTTAAGGATTTTTTTTTTGTAGGCTCAGAATAGTCCATATCCTGGGATATATTTATTCATTTAATGTCAGGATCTTCTACAACCATCGAAGACAAGATATTACCAAATAAACACAAAAATTACACTAAAGCTGTGAGAAAAGAGTACCATGGTTGTGTTGCATTCTGGATCAGCTGAAATTTCCTGACAAACAGCATCCTGCACTGATTTTGTCGCTACATTCTTGTTGGGATAAAGGCAAAAAACCTTGTCCTTTCCTGCAATTTGCATCAAGCACTTAAACCAGTGGTTCTGCAAGTTGAACATGTGGAGTTGGGAGGAAATAAACACCAAGCAGAAAGTTTTCAAATAAGGAAAATTACTTAACTGCATCGCCTTAGCTAAAAAAAGAATGCGAATAAAGTTCCAGCACATAAATATAAAACCCATTTGATCAAATGACCATACATTGAATAAATAGTGACTTCGTAAAAGTTCTTCATGGAGAGCTTAAAATACTCGAAGCTTCTGTGCATCTTTTTTGGCCAGCAGAAATAGATTCTCATAGCAGTCAAAAGAAGTGACAGACACAGCAGACATACATGTTGTATCAGTGTATTGCAAAGCATATATTGAACACACCTGCAATCTTACATGCATTCCACATTATTTCTTCATCTTCAGCAATCCCATAGAGGCATAAGGTAGCTGATTCAACACCAAGTACTTGCCATAACAACTTTCCAGTGTTGTTTTGTCGTAGAAAATCCTGCAAGAAGTTGATCGAACATTTGATGGCCACAAAGGATGTCACAACATTCAGGACAAGAACTAATGCATGACATGCTAACCTTTGGATGCATATACAACCAAAACCTTATGCCACGCCATAGAGAGCTGGGCTTGACTTTTGAACACATACAATCTTCTTCTAGAGGAAGCCAGCACTGCAAATAAATATACTAATTCCCATTAAAAGGCCAGACTCACCACCACGAAAATGTTACCATTGCACATCAATCACATACCTTCTGGCAGAGGTAACCTCTACTTCCAAGCAAACGACAAGCTATCTGTCGAGCTGAAAAGAACTGGAGCTTCTTCTCAGAATCACCTAAGGCCTGATATGTTGCTCTATGTTTCTTGTTCTCTTGCATTCCAAAATCCCCCTAGTTCACAGCATAATATACACAAAAAAAAGAAGAAGACTACTTTCAGCCATGTGAAACACATCCACTGGAACTACACTATAGCTTATCAAAATAATGACTCTCATCACCCCAAAAAAATCTATATGAATTCTCAATTGCTCCATTTGAATATATCAAATACCACGCAAAATAAACAAAGAGAACCGATCTTTCCATTCACAAGAACACAAACCTCAGTGAATTGAACCCAAGACAAATGCTATTCACGAAAACTTTGTTTTCATGACAGTGCCACACAACATAACACATGAAAATCGAATCTTTTACATCAAATCCATCCTTTTTTGCTCATTAACAAAATTGTTACCTCTAGTTTGCCACGATGCCCACTAAAGCTCATCTGGACCTCAGTTGTTTTCTCCAAAAGCTTCAAATCCTTAACAATCTCCACAACTTTAGCAGGGAGTGGAGATACTGCACCCCATCCTTGCCATTCCTGTAAAGTTATGGTAAACCCATCACTAGTATCAGGGTTTGTTTGAGGAGAATGTGAAGCAGAGGTAAAGTGCGTTCTTGGTGTAGACTCCATGTGGGTTCTGAGAGAGAAGGCTGGAGATGGAAGAGAGATTTTGAATGTCAATGGCCTTGTTGCCGAGACGGAAAGCATGGTGGGTTTTGGTGGGTTTTTTGCTTTTCTGCTTAGCTTGTTGGTCTGTCTTGATACGGCGCGTTTTCCTCAAGCAAAGAATATTTCACTCTCACTCTTTATAAGGTTGGTCCTGGGCTTGGGATTGGGCTCACTCTTTATAAGGTTGGTCCTGGGCTTAGTATTGGGCTTGGTCTTGGGCTTGGTCTTGGGCTTGGTCTTGGTCTTGGGCTTGCATTCAATTGGAATAGAGATGGAAATTTGGTCTGGTACCAACATAAAGGGACAGATTGAGAAGCATTAAACCAACCTAAATTATTATTATTAATTTTAAAAAATACACCCAACTCATTACATTAGGATTGTAAATGTGTAATGATGGATTTTTAATTATAAAAAATCAATTAACTAGCTATCAGGGTAATATAATTCTTTTTTTTAAAGTCTATTAATTGATTAGGAACAATCAATCTTTTCATGTTTTTTTAGTATAGTAAAATAACTCAATTAGTCTTATAAGCAAAATTATTTAATTGTAAACCTCAAGTTTTTTTTTCATGCATAATAAAATAATTAAATTACTCTTAAAAGTAAATAATATTAAACTTATATCTATGGTATTTTTTTTTAATTTTCATCATAGGTTTTTTATTTTTTTATTATAATCAACTTAACTGAGGAAAAATTATATATTTTAATAAATATAAAATATTATATATAAAATGTTATTTAAAAAAAAATTGGCTTATGTGCACGCGCCATTGAGTGAGAAGCACTAGTGATTTTTGGCAACTCATGAGGGAGTATTTGATGATGTTTGAATCGTTTCAGTGAACTCTTCATCTTTTAATGATATGTGTGGCTTATAAATTTCTAGTTTGAAATCGATAATCCTTTTTTTTTTCCTTTCTTTTCTCATTCATTTTCTTGCCTCACCATTTGAATTTTAAAAGCAATCATTAGATATGTTTTTCCTTCATATTTGATCCATGATTTTTGGATTATTATTTGCTTTATTTGAAATAATTTATAAAAATAGATTTTTTTAAAAAATTCATCCTTCAACTTTTTTTCATTTACCAGATTTGTCTCTATTCTTTTGATTGATAATTTTTAAGATTGGATGTTCTTTCAAAATTCTTTATTTTTTTATATCATATTTGATTCTTATTCTTTTAATTACTATTTTTTTACTTTTTTTTTTAAATTGATATTCTTTTCAGATTGTATACTTCAATATTAAATTGGTTGTTAATTAAATTTTTTGATTGAACCAGAGTCTAGAATTTCAAAAATAGTGTGTTTGAGAAATTAACTCAGGTTCAGGAGATTTGTCTAAGTTAGGTTGGTTTCTCTTTTTTTTTAAAAAACTCATGTTTTTTTCAGTTTTATCATTCAACATTTATTAAATTGAATATTGGACTGTATAATTTTTTTAGTTGTGTTTTATAACATTTTACACTAATTTTAAAAATGACCCAAGTTATCTTGAGGCTTTTTATTTATAACGCTTTGTTAAATTTAACTTTTTCTTAAAAAAATTTATTTTTTAATTAAATTAAATTAATAAATTAATATATAAGGATGAAATGCTTATTTTATAATATTTTTTTTGTTTGGGCTATGGATTATTACTTTGATGGCATATGCCATCATTTTCACTATTGTCATGTAGCTTTTCACATTAAAATTGGATTTGTCTTAGTAATTCTTTTTTTTTAATGATGGAGGTGGTGTCTATGGAGAAGCAATGATGAGTCTCCAATAATTTTTTTATTCTCTTGATTATGGTATTGACAATATACTTTTTATATTTAATTATTGCTATTTTTTATTATTTTATTTAATGTTAATTTTTTTTAATTATATTATTAAATTAACCAAATTTATTAAACTTAATCAAATTAATAACTCGAAGTTCATATTTTTCTTACTTCATTAAAATGCTAGTGTTATCTAAATATCTTGTTTTTGTATAACCAAAAATTTAAACTAACCCTCCAGTTATTAATTTAAGTATAACCAGAAATTTAAATTGACCCTCAAATTGGTTCTAGTAAAAATACTAAATGCATTGATTGGTACAGTGTAGTTGTTAGACTGATAATAGATATATTTATATATAGATGCATGGTTGTCAAATTCGATACAAAATCTAATGTGTAAAATAATTCAAGTTATTAGATTATTGGGTCAAACTAAATAAGTATTTTTTTTTATTAATATGATATTATTTCATTTTATTTTTTATAAAAAGTTTTGTGGTGCTAATTTAGTCTATTTTAAATTGGGATTTACTAAGTCAATTGAATTACCCATCAACCTCTCAAATTAATCAAGTTTAGTTATATTAATATATTTTTTAATTAAAATTAAAACCCATATCTAGTCAAGTTTTGATTCTAGATTTTTTATATCAACTCGTCAAATCAACACAGTACACCTCCGTACATTAATATTGATAATTTATAATGCTTGGAAATTTATCTTAATATATATATCTAAAATAATTAATGTGATTTACAAAATTCACAGTATAATAATTTTTTCAACCTTGAACTCTGCTTACAACTAATCCAAATATATTGAGATCTTTCAAAGTAAAAAAATATCGAGTAAAACAATGCTACTCTTAAAACTGGTCCTGCGATTTTTTTTAAAAACCCTCAAATCTGACAGCAAATACCTTTAAAATCATTTAAAAAATATCTTTAAAATCATTTAATAAAAGGAATTAATTTTTATTGACAAGCAAGCTGACTGCGAATACCGTTTTCTCCATCCAGAACAAACCTTAAAAATTCCAAAGTACAAACTGACATTAGCCGTTAATAACAGAGGGAATTTAGCATTTCAAAGCTTTGTCCTGCCGCCTTCTTATACTTCTCTTTATCCCTCTCTCTCCAACTCCTCCATTCTTCTTTTTTTTTTTTTTAATCTGGGTGTTCGAGTCAGTTTACACACAGCACGACTAATCTCACGAGTCCTAAAATTAACAACCATGTAAATCTCCGATGACTATTATATGAACAACCAAAGATTCAAACCTGAAATAACAAAAAAAACAAACCTCTTAATCCCAAGTCCTTACCATTTGGCACATGCTACAACTCCTCCATTCTTCCTCTCCAAACTTTCGATAAAGAAACCACAGACACAGAAAACTCACTTTCAACTAAAAGCTCTCAAAATGGTCTCATCGATGGTTCTATCTTCTTACCCTTCTTCACGCCTAAAATGCTCCCTCTCAAATCCTCAGTCTGTGATTATGATGTCATCACCTCAGCCTACAGTGGCAGCTTCCTTTGCCGAGTTCAGAGGATTGAGGATCCAAATGGGTTCAAAGTTGTCAACTTCGTTGGTTTCCATTAATACGAGGAGGAATCCTAAGGTTTTTTCTCGTATTGTGTCTGAAGCTCAAGAGACTGTTGTTGATAGTAAGTTTTCAATTTTTATTTATTTATTTTAATTTGGTTCTTATAATTTGGTCTTGTTATTTTACTTCCAGTGCTTTTGTTTGATTCATTGTTTATGATTTTGTGCTATCTTGATTCCGATTACTGCACCAAGTTAAGGGGGTCTTTTTAGCTCAAGATTTTGAGTTTTATTCAGTGATAAACAACATTAACTTTTCAAAGACCCAATTTATTGTAAATGGGGTTTAAGTAAATTAGAGTATGTCTCGATACCCGAGAAATGACCTTTGATTGGGGAGGAGGGCCAATGTTGCCCAGTGGAGGGTTGAAGTAAGAAATGAATTCAAGAATGTTAAAAAAGAGAGCTTTCTTATGATTGAAATAGGAGATTGAATCTTTCTTCTTAGTGCGTATCAGGGCATGTCTAGATGTTCTTTATTTTCAAGAAACGAACTTGGTAAGGCAGGATGGAACAGGGAGCCATATTCGCAAATGGGGTTTAAGGAAGACCTGGATCAGAGAAATGAAATTCTAGAACCAAAAATTGCATCAGAGAATGTTAAATACACCTTCATGATCAGTAAAATAGGAGATTAAATCTAATGTTTAGTGTGACAAAAATCTGATGAGGAACGGGTGGTTATAATTGATGGTGGACGGAGATCGCAACTACAATGTTAAAGATTGGGTTATCAATTATGAAGAAGGGATTTTTTTTCCAGGGAAATTTGGAGTTGGGAGAGGGCAGGGGTGGTGGAGTTTGCGTAGTAGAGAGAAATCTGTGAGGTCTGACAATGAGCTTGTGCTGTTGGAGGCATTTTCTCTTGTTATTTTGTGATTTCATCACATCCAGGAAGGTTTTCCTGTAATTATGTCCATTTTAGATGACATTGGGTGTCCAAATGTTTCAAGTTTAGCTTAGGCCAATGTGGGCAACTGCAAACCTTGTACACTTTTCAAGAAATTGTGGCTTCTTCTTTGCTTTATATGCTCTTGACATTTCCTTTGTTCATAGAATATCAAGGTTCTATTGAAACAAAAACTGTTTTCGTGGTAACTTTAATGTCAAATGTTTTCCTTAAAATCTGATGGAATCTTCTATTAATTTTTTTTTCCCTCTACATGAAATACGATTGCTGGAGCTCTGGTGCAATTGCGCTATTTTTCTGTAAAATTCAAGTCACCTAACTAGTTATACATTCAAATCTAGAAAAACAGCAGTGTGAACTTTGACCTGATATTCGGCATTTTGATTTTGCTGGTTGATATTAGCTAAACCTGGCAGCTGCATTGAAGTTCTTTTTGAGCTTCACAAAGCCATGCTAGCTTCCTCACTATCCTAGCAGCATTTTTCTAATGACTGAAATGCACCATTTCTCTTGGAAGTTCACTCTTTTTTAAGCTGTTCTCGTTGGTTCTACTCTGAGTACACTGAACTTTTTTTTTTTAAAGTATTTCTTTAACTTGTCAGACCTCCATTTACCCTCTCAATAACACTGGTTTGCTAGGAATTTGTAGCCAACATGAGGAGAAAATTTCGAAATAGTTCTCTGGGACCAGACTTTCCATACGTCTTTAAGGCTTGGCATGGTCTGTGCACTTCACGGAAAGCTTAGGAAATACTGGATTTGAACCTCTGTATTTCTGATACTATTTTAAGTCGCAAAATGGCCTAACTTCCTCCTCGTTAACTGGTGTCCTCGATTCTTGAAATGGCCGCACACTTAACTATATGGTTCTTTGTTTTATGATTCCCAATCTCTTTTATCTGCTGATAAAATATTGTTGAACTTGGACTGTATTGTTCGTGTCTAATCTAGTAACGCTTCGACCCAGCCCGCTTGATACTCTTCCTAGATGTAGTGGTTTTCTCAAACTAGTAAATTTAATTAGGCTTGTTTAGCTCCTCCTTTGGTTTCTTTTTTCATTTGCATAATGGCTCATCTACTGGAAAATTTTGATTTTATTTTTTATTTTTTTGACATGGCTCATCTACTGGAAAATTTTGATTTTTTTGATATCTTTGAATTATTTTAATGCATTGATTTTAAAATAAATTTTTTAAAATAAAAAATATTATTTTAATATATTTTGAAATAAAAAATCCTTTCAAAAATAACTTTTATTACTATCCTCTACAACACTTGCCATCAACATTTGGTTTTCTGAATTTGGTTTAGATGTGTACCTTTAAAAAATGGCATGTTGCTACCACATTCCTTAACTTCTGACATATTTAAACATTCTGAATATCCTCCAGCTTTCCTGTTAAAATGTAATTACCAATAATTAGTCATATAAGGTAGTAAACTAAATGAGTCTTTCAACACGCATTCTGATCTTGCATTCAAATAACTGGACTGAATGCTGCACAGAATTGGATAAGTAACTCTCTTATATTGTATTTGGAGTGTTATGGACTAAACTAAATAATTTATTTTATTTTATCATCGGTAGAAACTCAATAAAATCTAGTTAATTCGAGATCTAGATCTGTCTGAATTTAAAAAATTAAAGAAAAAATTAATTTGATAAAAAACTTGGATCGACCTGAAATAAAATACTAAAAAAAATCAATTGAATTTTTTTTTGAATTTTTTTGTTAAATCAGGGTTGCTTTGATTTTTTTTAATATTTAATTTGAATCAACTTGGGTTGACTGTCCCTACTTGTAACTTGGATCTTGCCTCGGGTTAACACCCGAGTTAGGTTTTATAATTATAATAATATTTATATTTATTTATATATTGATTTGAGTTAATCCGGATTAACCCTCCCAACTCGTAATCTAGTTTTTATCCTGAATCAACTTTCATTTTATTTTATCATCGGTAGAAACTCAATGAAATCTGGTTAATCCGAGACTTAGATCTGTCTGGATTTAAAAAATTAAAAAAAAAATTAATTTAATAAAAAACTTGGGTCGACCTAAAATAAAATATTAAAAAAACCAATTGAATTTTTTTTTGAATTTTTTTGTTAAATTAGGGTTGCTTTGATTTTTTTTAATATTTAATTTGGGTCAACTCGGGTTGACTGTCCCTGCTTGTAACTTGAATCTTGCCTCGGGTTACCCGAGTTAGGTTTTATAATTATGATAATATTTATATTTATTCTTACATTGATTTAAGTTAATCCGGGTTAACCCTCCCAACTCGTAATCTAGTTTTGATTTTGAATCAACTTTTAAGTTAAATTTTAAAATTATATTAATAATTATTTTTATACATTAATCTTATAGTATTTTAAAACAACTTTAAACAACACAAAAATAACTTTTATACTGCACAAAAATAGACGACACAACTTCACAAAAATATCATCTTATTTAGTTTATCTTTATCCAGTGTACCAAACACTAACTCATGCTCCTGTTTTTCTTTATATATATATATATATATATATATATATATTATTTTGGGTTTAACTTCTCTTCTCTCAAAGCAATTAACATATTTATGAAAAATCATTGAGGACCTCTATGCAGGAATAGCTTCCAGGTTAGAACTTTAATTACCATACATGTTCTCACTTGGCTGCGAAATACGTTGAATTATACCACTAATGATCTCTATTTCTAGTTACCCCACACCACTTTCATTCATGTTGTTGCTGTTATTCTGTTTCTACAACGCCCTCCAATGAGTTCTCCATATCACAGTACAATTGACCTCTAATTTCCTTGATTCTCAAATCTCAGTTCCTACAGTGACTGATGAAACATGGCAGTCACTTGTCATCGAGGCTGATGGCCCCGTGATGGTCGAGTTTTGGGCTCCATGGTGTGGACCCTGCCGAATAATCCATCCAGTGATAGCTGAACTATCGACAGAATATGGTGGGAAGCTCAAGTGCTTCATGTTGAATACCGATGACAGTCCTTCTACTGTGACCAAGTATGGAATTCGAAGCATTCCAACTATCATCATCTTCAAAAATGGGGAGAAGAAACATGCAATCATTGGTGCCGTGCCCAAAACCACACTAATTTCCAATATTAAGAAACTCTTGTAGAGGAAGCTGGTAACAGAATTCCTTCGAAAGAATTCGACTCTTTTTTTTTTAATGGGTTCAAGTAATTTTCTTTTTCTGAATTGTGAATAAAATCTACCTCCCAGCTGTGTGCTTACTTCTTTGTAATTTTTGGCTGAGGTTAATTTGCTTCCTGAAAGTGCTAGTTGGTTTGACCAACCAAGCAATTAAGTTTGTCGATGCATGATTTGAAAATGAGAGCTGATTAGGCCTGGCGTGGACCAAATCCAGCCTTCATTTGCTCCACCAAGCACTGGCTTTTCATGTTTTCTTCCAATCTAGAACTTTTGAATTCTTGACTCAAGCAATGGTATTGGTATGGAGCCCATACGTCCACTTTGAGCGGTGGTTGAAAGGATTCACCATTGCTTTACAGTGCAGGAAGAAACCAAGGGTTTTCTGAGCACCACAGCCCATCATGTGAGAAAATTCCGTGGTGATAGAACTGGCCTCCAAGTCAGTCCAACATTCTCCAAACATGTAGAAAGTATAGTAAAAAAATGACAGGAGATGCGATGGCTCCTTGATAAAAGAGGTGCAGTGAATATTGTTAGTCAACCACCACCACTCGTATTTATTAAGAAAATTATTCCATCGAGAAGGGGATTATTTTATTTATACATAGGAATCTGGATATTTTTTTAGCATGATTGCTTGTAGTGGCATAACTAATGTCAATTCTTTGTGGATACACTAATCATTTTAACATATACTTAGTATCATATCATATGGCTGGTTCGGCCTGCAAAAGAAAAAAAAATATAGATTGCTGGGTTAATTATTTTTCATAAAATAATAATAATATCTTGTTTTTTTATTTATAAGATATCAATTTATTAGAGTTTGGTTTGGATTAATTAGATCTTTAAAAATTATATTTTATTAAATGAGTTTAATCAAGTTAATATTTTAAATCAGGTTATTAGTTTCGGGTTTTGATATTAATAATTATTAAACTATAATGGATTGTGTAAATCTAGTTTTTTTATTTTTGTTGAAAAAAAAACCCATAACTCATAACAGGGGTGGGTGAGATTGTAAATCCCAAAAGCTACTTTCTAAACCTAAGCAAACACTTAAGATGATAAAATGAAGATAAATTAAAAGGATTGAAAATAACTTATTATTAATATATTATACATATTAATAATCATTTTTAAAAGAAGAAAAGTTTAATGGCCGGATATAAATTAATTAATTCAAAGAATAGTAACAATGACTAGAGATTCTATAGAAATTACTATTTAAATTTTTTAATACGAAAATGGTAATTAGTGTTTAATTAATACAAATTAAAAATGAAAAAAAAAATCAATCAAACTAACTGAAACCAAGAATAAAATAAAAAATAATTAAAACATCAATTATAAAAACTAACAATTAATTGAATCAAATCAAAATAGAAAGGGACTATAAAATAATTCTTTCCAACCATTGTAATTAATGATATAAAAAGACATTAATAAAATGGTTGAGCAGTAATCCATCATACTTATAATCATTATAAATAAATAAATAATAAGGTGAAATAAACTAGATGACAATTAAAGGTTTTTATCAAAGAAATATTTCAATTTAATAACTTAAACTATTAGGTGAAATTTTAAAATATAATTTATATTATTTACTAACATAGCCACTCAAGTGAAAACCCTTTAGGTTTGAAACTTGCATGAATCAACATTATCTTGTACTTAATTTATATCAAATAAATAAAGATGATAATATTCAAACTCGTGATCATTTGATTTTATTAAGACTTTGATACCATATTAAAAAATCATTTCAATCTAATAATTTAAATTGTTATGTAAGGTTTTAAGATATAATTTATATTATTTTTTAACAGTTTTTCCTATCAAAATAAAAACACAAAACCAATAGTTACATGAAACAAATCAAAATAGAAAAACAAAAACAAAATAACTGTTGAAATTAATAAAATAAAAAAATTAAAAACCTTTAAAAAACCAAACATTGATGTATCACACTATATAATTAAATTATGGTAATGTGGCTAATTGCCCATTCATGTTCATGCTTTGATCATTGAAAACAAATATATACAATAATAAGAAGAAAATGGAATTTAAAACATGAAAATCAAACATTAATGCATCACTTTATAATGTAATTAAGTCAAGTAGAGAGAAATTATCCAAAAAAAAAGTCAGAGGAGAGAGAAACGGGAGAGAGGCAATACTTGAAAAAGAGGCTATACGTGAAAATGAAAGAAAGGAAGAAAAAAACAAAAAAAAGAAGACGAGCAATACTTGAAAGAAAAGCAAGAAAAAGAAAAGAGGATAACAATTTTAACATGTTTCCATCTCTTCTATTTGCTTGAATATCTCATAAAATTCTATTTTTCAAAATAAAAATAGAGTTTTTTGTTTGTTTGGATCTCTCTTCTTCTCCTATTTTGTTATGGATCTCCCTTACACTTCATTTAAAGAAAAATTAATTCAAATATGTTTAGCTTATATTTTGAAAGAGAGGGGGTGAGAGAAGCTGATAAAAACAAGGCATCAAGATCTGACACAGCAAGATGATTGCCCACAGACATTGATTTCCGTCCTCCATTGATGAGCAAAACTTGGTTCTTGGAGTCAACACCACTCTCTGTCTTGAATATATAGTACATGGAATTTGATCGAAATTATGGAAGGTTCAATATGATGGGGTGTTTTCCTTTCCAGTTATGGTGTGGGTGTTCCCCTTTTTTTAATTTAAAACGTACACAAATTCATAGTTTTTAAAATAGTGTGAAAATTGTTTTTTTTCCCGCTATTAATAGGAAATCTTAAAATCTCTTGACAGAACAAGGATGTTAATAACAGTTAAGTTTCAACTTATTAGCTGTGAAAACTTTTATTACTTCGTTGCTTTCAATATCAAGGCACCGTCGACGCACAGTCAATTAAGAGATCTGAAATGACAAGGATATAGCATTAATGAGGTCTGCCATTTATGCGCAAGCTCCAGTTCAATTGATGCTACTGTAGCTATCCTATGTTACAATACACACACACAAAAGGAAGGTAGCATGGATGTACACTTGCTTGTATCTTGGCTATATATATATAAACTTATTAAATAGCCAAGATACAAGCAAGTTTACATCCATGCTACCTTCCTTGTATATATATATATATATATATATATAGTAAGTCTGCTTAAGACTTTTCTTTCTTCCTCTTAATTATAGAAGTTGAAGAAGAAGAAGAAATTTTGTTGCAGTAGTTGAGGAGGAAGAAGAAATTTTGTGGCAAGCAAGAAAATTGGGAGTACGGACTACATAAACTGTTGAACTTGCAGCGGTAGGTATAGCCATGCCAGGGATTGGCAGCCACAAAAGTTGGGTTCGAAGACACTTTACATCCCCCATGGATTTGGAGCTTCAGAAATGTCACATTATTGCATCCATATACACGCATTCAAATATTATTGATGGCCATATCTTATCAACTTGACTTATGGCTGTGAATGAGGATTCTTGTGTCGCTATTGCGGAAAAAAAAAATTCTCATAAACGTCACCCATGTTTGATTTTAAGACAATTGTTTTTGTTTTCTAACCATGTATTAGAAATTTTGATTTATTTTATTTTCAATTAAATTTTTGTTGGTGTTTTTGGATGTGTGAATATCAAAGCTAAATTTTAAAAAATAAAAATAATATTTTTTAAAAATATTTTTTTATAAAATACATTGAAAAACAATATTTATTATAATTTCAAAAAGAAAAATCATGTTTATAACTTTTGTGAAGTACTGGAGAGACTAAATAATAAATCAAGTAATTGTCATCTTGTTGATATAAATCTTGATACAATATGAAACATTACAAGTAAGATTATTCACAAATTTAATTTACATATCTAAATAATTGTGCTCAAAATGAACTATTAATTATCACTTGAAATTCATCATCCAAACTACATCGTTTTCCAAACAATATTAAATGTAATAAAATACTCATATCCAAACCCTTATTGTTTTTCTAATCCATTTATCTATGCAATATATACTTGGGATATCTGATTAGAAAAAAAAGCTTGATATGAAAAGAATATATTCTAGTTTATATTTTCAAAGGTTTTGGAAATTGCATGAAGACAATGCCCTAGCATACACGAATACGGAATCCATTAATGCTAATCTACATGGTGCCTGGTATGATTTTCCCCTGTTTTGTGGATTATATATATATATGTAGCGGGCGGGACATCACACAACATGAAGAAACATAATTAATTTTAAATTATGATATGGAAATTAATGACTCAATTATAATCACAATTGCAAATTTAAACAGTGAATTAATTACTCCCTTTATTTTAAATCAGTATTCTTGTAGGATAATTAGCAGAATTCTTTATTTTAAAGATAGCTTGAAGCATGAAAAATAATCACCCATCATGCAAGAGAAACAAACGTCTATTAGAAATAAGCGTGTTCCTAAATCATTTGATACGAAGTGCAAATTACCAATTTTTTTTTTTTATTAAATGGGATGATAGCTACTGGCACCGTCACAGCCACCCTCAACTCAATTATGACCCACCAAACTTTGAAAACATTATCACCGACCAATATTGATAGCCAGTAGCATCAATCGTGTTCAGCACTGGTGAAGAAAACTTGCTCCATGCAAGGAGTCAGCTCGTCACATTGTGTAGCAGTTCATAGAATCTGCAAGTCCTCATCGACGTTGGAGATTTCGGTGGGGTTTTTTTTATGCTGTAATATTAATTGTTGGCTAGTTAATGCTCGTTAAAATGCTATTACATGCCGACCACTTTAAGCACATAAGGTAACGAAGATGGGCACTGGTTTCGGTGGCGCATCATTGAAATAAGAAAATAATAAAGAGAATGGACGGTCAACATATGATTATCCATAATTTTTTTATATAGTGCAAGGCTGAAAGAGAAGCAAGAATCAACAACAACTCAACAAAATTGCTTTTATTAGTAGATTTATAATTCTGTAGGCAGATAATCAGTAATCAAATTGCTTATATATTGGTAATTTGCAGGTGATAATTAGTACAGTTATAATTGTAAGCCTGCAAACTAGTAGACTTTTAGTTTTCATTGTAATCCAATAAGCTTGAAGTTTCTATTACCAGAAAACCTAGAAAATACCAAACAACATATCTATTCATGTTATCTTGTCAAGGAAATCTCATGCATAGCTGTAATCAAATCAAGAATCATGTAATGA